AGGACCATGGGCCCTGCGGGGCCATGGTGCTGCCTGTTGTAGGGCTCTTCATATCTAGATATATTTGGGCTTGTATATATGCTCCCGCTTAGGCTAAGCATATAGTTTTGGTTGCCTTGGCACATGGCGCCCATAGGGCTCGCCATGTATCAAACATACGACATGCCAGACGTGGTGCCTTATTGGTCTGCTACATAGGTGGGGTTTTGGTGATGTGGCACCTGTAGGGCGTGCCACGTATTGAGCTTGATACAAGTACCCACAATAATGCCCCCTGTATAGATGCTCTTATAGCTGATGAGAGTATTTGTACATGACTGTGTTAAAAAGTTTTGAAAAATATTAACTCATGCAGACAAGTATTCAGATAGAGTCGTCTAAAATTAAGCTTTTGATATAATGGGGGCATTTGGATTGCTCATAGAGAGTTTACATTTTAAATTTCATCCGGTGCAAGCCGGCCGGATAAAGATGTGGGCTTGTTGGGCGATGGCTTGATTCCGGGGAATTTCCACTACTTCACAGGAGATTTCGACTTCATTCCATAGGCACCATATTCTGCTTCTCACCCTTTCCATGCCGCTAGGAGGGGGGACAATGGTCTTGGTGTTAGGAAAGCCCATGATTTGGCTCATGAACTGGGCCTCGCTTCCTTCTTTTTTTGTGTTTGTGATGATGACGAGGTGGAAGCGTCTGCTAGAGTGTAGGTGCATGTAGTGTTGGAGGAAGTTAGGGCGAGTGACACGCTCAGTGTTAAAGAAAAGGATGTTAAGTGGAATGTTGAGCGGGATGTTTGGCTGGGCACTGCGGGAAACGCTCTCTTCTCCTATGTTGAGATCTGCAAGGCTCTCTATGTCCCATCCAAGTCCCAAATCTTCATTTGGGTTTTCCAATGGCGCTGACATGATGGAGATGTGGTGGTCTAGATCTCTCTCTGTCGGTCTTTGCGAGAGGATGTTGATACGGATCCTCTCGAAATGTGGAACTAACACCTGATTTACCTGGCAGGTGGATCCCTGGAGAGTGAGGTTGATTTCTTGGTTTAGCAAAAACCAAGTATGGGACGGTGGTATTGTGTAAAGTTCTGGAATGGTTAGTGTCTTGTACCATCCTCTTATTTTACTCCGGTTTCCGGCACCTCTACTACTGTATGAACAGATATTGGGTGTTTGATCCAAGGGGATTCGAATAGTTGATCTTGGAATTGCCATGGAGGCATGGAGAGCATCTTTTGAAAGAACTCACACACAGGGTGGCGGCGGTGAGTAGGAGTGGAGCTCGAAGCTCTAGAGCTGGAGCTTGAAGCTCTATAGCTTGGACCTCTTGGGTTTGGAGCCTTGTTCATCGGCAGCTAAACGGTGTTATCTCGGTGCCCCTGGCCGCCGGAAGCCATTTAGAGAGGATGGGTTGAAAGGAGAGTGTTAGCAATTAGATATGAATTTGCTTGCGTTTTTGTGTGTTGTTGTCCTGTATTTGTGCTCTCTTATAAAAACGGGAAAGAGGGGGTGAAGTTATTGCCTTTTATAGCTTTTTGTTGGGAAAGAGCGATCTATGGAGAAGACAACTCAGTCTAAGGTTGTTGCAGTCTGCTTTTAATATTTGTAACAGGCAAAGAGAATTTTGATTGGTTTAAGGATTTTCCGTGGGAAGGTACAACCTCAGTATGTATATAAAATTATTTAATCTTCTTCTTCTTTTTCTTCTTCTTTTCTTTTTTTTTTTGGAACTTCTCGTCCTGCTTGAACGTTGCATCATTGCCACATAAAAGATTGTATATATTTTGGGTATAACTTGAACTTGTTCGAACCATTCCAAAAGTGAGTTTGCCGTTTTAGAGAAATAAGGACTATATATATATATAGATATATATATTTGTTTGGGTTTTTTTTTTTTTGAATCAGGATCTCTGTTTATTCCTTTTACCCATTGTACAGAAGGGTGTGTTATAAATAAGGACTCTATATATATACAGATATATATATATATATATATATTTGAATCAGGATCTCTGTTTGTTCCTTTTACCCATTATACAGAAGGGTGTGTTATAGACTTGGTTACCCGTAGCTGGGTTTCTTATACCATTAAGGGAGGGTCTAGGCAAGTTTGTGTTTGGGTAGACTTTTCTGTTCTCTTTCTAAAATCTAGAATTTAACTTAGTGGGAAAGACTAGAGAATCCAGAATACAGTGGGGAGAGGAAGGTTGACAGCTACGAAGGAGGAAAAGGGTTGCCGCCGACGAGCTCCAAAGTGAGATTCGACAGTGCCTGTGTGGTATGAAGGCATCACGACTTTTCTCACACTGTTGTTACGGGATTGAATGGTGAGAGGCTAGATTTTTGTGTTGTTTGTTTGAGGGTGGTGAATCGAACCTCGAAGTCGCGAAAGGGGGAGAGAGACGAGTTGGGCAGAGAGAGAAATGAGGGAAGAAGAGTGCTGCGAGTCGCAGAAGTTGCCGTTAGGTGAGCCGCAGGGGTGCTGTGTGGCGATCGGTTGGGCTGTTGGGGGTTGAATTCTGATTCTGGGTTGGCTACTAGGGTTGGGTCTTGCCGATCGCGAGTGGGTTTGCTCGTGATTGAAGAATCTGGGAGTCATCAACAGAGGCTGAATCAGTAAAGTTGGGTTTCTGAGTATTGCTATGGGTGGAGCTTGAGAGGAGCAATCGAATCAGGAAGAGGAAGAAAGAGGAGCTGTGGATACGCTCAGAGCTCGTCGTGATTGGCGCTGCCGTGGGCTTGAAAGGTATGTGTATTGCTCAGTTGAATTTGATGTATGTTTTCATCTATAGATTCATATATATATATATATATAGTGTTGTTTTGTGAAAAATAGGAGGCTTTTTGAAAAATAGAGGTGAGCCACGAAATAAAAATAAAAATATTGTTTTGTTATTATTATTATTTTATATATTTATATTTATTTATTTTTTTAGCATGAGGCAGATCAATAAAAAAAAAAAGAAAAAAGGTTGTGTTGTGGAGAATTGGAGAGGTCTATAATAAAATGTTAATTAGGTAAAGGGTGAAAAGGTTGGAAAGTTATTAATAATGAATACTGGAGAGATGCATGCTTAGAAAAATAAAAATAAACTGTTAGAATAAATGTGGGAGAGCTATATGGCAAAATTTTAGGATTGTATTGAGAGTTATGAAGTTTTATTGTTTTATGATTTGTAGGTTGTAAATAGAAAAGCTGAACCGAGGGAAGCTCTAAAGGAATTTGCGTTCGGCGGTCCTGTTCATCAATTTGCTGGTGTAATGGCAGATTCATTAATCTATTTGGTGTAAGTATTAGAGTGCACCGAAATGTTATTCTGCCTCAGCCAATCCCTGAGCTGCCATTGTTCGGCGGTCCTGTTCATCAATTTGCTGGTGTAATGGCAGATTCATTAATCTATTTGGTGTAAGTATTAGAGTGCACCGAAATGTTATTCTGCCTCAGCCAATCCCTGAGCTGCCATTGTTCGGCGGTCCTGTTCATCAATTTGCTGGGGTAATGGAAGATTCATTAATCTATTCGGCGCAAGTATCAGAGTGCACCGAAATGTTATTCTGCCTCAGCCAATCCCTGAGCTGCCATTGTTCGGCGGTCCTGTTCATCAATTTACTGGGGCAATGGCAGATTCATTAATCTATTCGGCCTAAATATCAAGGCTATGCGCCGAAATGTTCTTGTGCCCTAGCCAATCCGTGAACTGCCGTTCGGCGGTCCTGTTCATCAATTTACTGGGGCAATGGCAGATTCATTAATCTATTCGGCCTAAATATCAAGGCTATGCGCCGAAATGTTCTTGTGCCCTAGCCAATCCGTGAACTGCCGTTCGGCGGTCCTGTTCATCAATTTACTGGGGCAATGGCAGATTCATTAATCTATTCGGCCTAAATATCAAGGCTATGCGCCGAAATGTTCTTGTGCCCTAGCCAATCCGTGAACTGCCGTTCGGCGGTCCTGTTCATCAATTTACTGGGGCAATGGCAGATTCATTAATCTATTCGGCCTAAATATCAAGGCTATGCGCCGAAATGTTCTTGTGCCCTAGCCAATCCGTGAACTGCCGTTCGGCGGTCCTGTTCATCAATTTACTGGGGCAATGGCAGATTCATTAATCTATTCGGCCTAAATATCAAGGCTATGCGCCGAAATGTTCTTGTGCCCTAGCCAATCCGTGAACTGCCGTTCGGCGGTCCTGTTCATCAATTTACTGGGGCAATGGCAGATTCATTAATCTATTCGGCCTAAATATCAAGGCTATGCGCCGAAATGTTCTTGTGCCCTAGCCAATCCGTGAACTGCCGTTCGGCGGTCCTGTTCATCAATTTACTGGGGCAATGGCAGATTCATTAATCTATTCGGCCTAAATATCAAGGCTATGCGCCGAAATGTTCTTGTGCCCTAGCCAATCCGTGAACTGCCGTTCGGCGGTCCTGTTCATCAATTTACTGGGGCAATGGCAGATTCATTAATCTATTCGGCCTAAATATCAAGGCTATGCGCCGAAATGTTCTTGTGCCCTAGCCAATCCGTGAACTGCCGTTCGGCGGTCCTGTTCATCAATTTGCTGGGCCAAGGGCATATTCATTAATCTATTCGGCTAAGTAGCAGTACTATGCAGTTATTTTAGCGCTGAATTAATTCAGTAGTTTGTTCCATTCATGTTTTTACATCTTACTTAGCAGATTAACAAGCACATGCATCAGGCAGAAAGGCAAAGGCAATCTTCATTCATAAACTGAGTACAAACAGAAGTCACTTTGGAAATGAAAACTACCCTACGATAGCTTCACACAAAAATAAATAGTGAAAAATTTAACAAATCTAACAAAACCTACATACACACGATACCAAAACAAAATGAAATATACTTTGACCCTAGGTCAGTCTTCAGGGTTAGACTCCAACAGCTCAACGTCTACCTACTCGTACGGAATCGGCTGCTCTGATACCACGTTAACGGCAGCTAAGGCTTTGAACTAGCCGTGTTTGAACCCCCTATTCTCGAACTAGGGCATTTCCTTGACATAGTTCTCCAAGGCCACATTCTTGCCAGCTTGGAATGACTTGGAAATCTCGGATTCGGCGCTCGCCATCGCCCTCTTCGACTCCTCTAAATCGGCCTCCAGCTTGGCAATCGTCTCGTTGGCCAATTTGAGCGCTTCTTTGCTAGCGTTCGCCCTTTCCTCGGCGGCTAATCTCAATTGGTTAGCAGTCTTGGCCTTATCTGCTTCGACACAGGCCCTCGCTCTTTCTTCCGCCGCTTTCATGGCCTCACACTCGGCTTTGAGAGAGGCCTCTGCTGCCTTGTCCTTTTCGTTTTCCACCTTGGCTGTGAGAAAGCCGATATGTTCGATAACGTCATGTTGGTGACGACCAATCTCAGCTATCCTTCCCGACGCCTACAAAACAAGGAATCAGTAAGTTAGTTGATATAAAAAACTTTTCTCTTGTTTAGCCTTGCAAAATTATAAATAAGGATCATGTACCAATATCACCGATTGAGCGGCTAATGCGATGGACAGCAGATCAGGCTCTACCGTAAAGGTTGCTCTGTCAACCGGCAGAGAAATGGAGGAGGCCAAGCTCAAGGCCACAGTAGCATCTTTTACAACCGATGCATCAGAAGCAACCGGCACATTTTTTTATCCTTGGTTGTATTGTAAATGGCACAACCAGGTCCGATTCTTCCACGCGTGGCTGTTTATCCACTAGGTTTTCCGAATAATCGGCTTCGTGTTCGGCCGGACGTTTTTCCCCCCTGTGCTCCGTCACTTGACCCTCCTGTTGATCTACAACAGGTTCCGTTTCGGCCACATCATTCTGAATCGTCTCCTCAACAGGAGCAGGTGGAGGAGATTCTACCCTAGCGTCGGGTGGAGGGGGTGGAGGTTCAGTTCGCTCGGCTTCGGCTCTCCTACGGGCAGCCATCCTCTCGGTATTTTTCCGCCTGGCCATTTGACTAAGCGATTCTCCAGCCATGTTGTCAGGATATGAGTCGGGTAGGTCTCCTAAGTCGGTGAAAATATCTTCGAAGGACACGTCCGCTTGGCCAGAAGTGGATAGAGGATTGAGGCTGACTTCTTCAAAAGGAAAATTTAGTGCCGCGTCAACCTCCTTCTCTAGTCCGTCGGATCTGTTCAAGGAGGGTTGATTCGGCTGCTCAGCGACTCCTTCGTCCGCTGGCTCTGAATTTGAAGCTTCAAGACCAATCTGCCTAAGGTTCTTGAAGCTCGGAAAAATAAGCGTCGTAAGGTGTTGTTCACGCCTCGGAATCGACATGTTATTTGCAGCCGAAAAAGTAGCGTAAGTTGGCTCGTATCTTAAAAGAATGTGGGCCACTGTAGACGCCCCCGGAGAGCTCCCGAGAGAATCTCGTTTTGTTCTTTAGCTACTACAGTTCGGACTCAATGTCACGGTTCTGAATCTAATCTCGCAAAGTGCAATGCAAGACCAATAAATCACCAAAGAGTCCAAATCCGGCAAATCGTTTTGGAAAACTGATTTTTAAGAAAGAAGTGCCAAACATGGACTGCTTTGCCAGATACAGAGTCGCTACCTAAATATTTTAGTCTGGGGGAATTTAGGAAACCCTGACTCGTGCCTAAGGCCACGTGCCCGTCATCACCAAAGTTGCCTCGGCTCGGGAACTTGGGTACGAGAGGGGAAGGTCATGCAATGAGCACCCCCGCTCGCCCGATCAAAGATCGGCCTGTACTAAGCATGATATCTTGTTTTTGAAAACACATGCGTTCTTTTTCCAGTTATTAGCTAGATTTACTATGTGATGCGCACAACACACAAGTATAGACTAGATCACCTAATTTGGAACAAAGCATTGCATATTTGTTGTTTGAAAATTGGTTTGAAGTTTGCTACTCGCAAGTAGGCTAAATCGAGGATTCAATGAATTGTTCCACTTCAAGTAATCTAACCTTCACCCACAGGCATTCAGGCAGTTACATCACGCAAGCAATTAGCCTCATGGCAAGCACGCTGTTATGTTAATACTCACACGCATGCAAGATGCTAACACATAAACACTCACAGTGTACTCCGAGCCATAACAATAACTAGTTAGTAATCAATGCATGATCCTAGCTATGTTAAGATGGCTAATGCAACACATGCAAAAATGCAACTAAAAATAGGCTCGGCTATTCTAAGATGGCATATGAGATGCGATTAGATAACATGTATTCAATTTGGAATTGAAATACAATGCAGTTAGTATGATGCGCCGAGCCTGGTGCATGCAATACAGATGAATGATGCAAACATGCATAGCATAAGGATGCTAAATTAAATATGCCCTAAAACTAACCATTGTAAGCGATTAAGTAAAAGGGAGAAAGAAATGGGGGTTGGAAGACATGCATCACACACATGCATGCTTATTACACCAATTGGCTCTCTTGAGGGAGAGACCGAAAGAAAAATACAAATCAACTAATTAACTAACTTACAAGGTAATTAATTATTACACAACTCTTAACTAATTAAACAAATTAATTAAGCTATGAAAATAGTAAAGTAGCCTCAGGAAAAGGAACAAATGCATGCTTGGTTCGCTTCGCTCAAAAATCCGTTGCCATGCCTCATGTTGCCTCTATTTGCATTGTTTTGCACTTTTGAAAACTGCACAAGTCTCTGTGATTCTTCAGAACCACTTCGTGGTCATGCTGAGAGGCCATCGGCCAAATGGAAAGGCCATCAGCCAAGAGATGAAGGTCATCGACCAAAAATAAGGCTCTTGGCCAGACATTGTTAGCCGATCGACGCTGAATATGGTCGATCGGCCATTTCTTCCTGTAAAATACTCATTTTGCTGTAGCAGAGGACAAACAGAGTATGGTAATACATTTACAAGACAATGTTTGCAGCTACACCCCTTATCATGTTTAAGACTCAAAGGAGTGTAGTTCTCAACCCTCGAGCCACCAATCACGCATTTCAATGCATGATGGCCAAAGGAGCCAAGTGTGCAATTCAATGTCAAATGAAATGCACAAAAACACATAAGGTGGCCTCAACCTCTATCATGCTTGATCAAGAGACAAGGGATGCACACATAATGCAATGCAAACATGCAAGCATGATGCGAACAACTCAAGCATGCAACAAGTATGCAACTAGATCATGCAATGCAACTAATGTGCAATAGGCATACTACCTAAACATGTGAAGATACATGACATGCAACAACATGCAAAATGAAGCAAGCATGCAACAACATGCAAAGATGGACTTAAACTAAAGTGGCAACTCTTAAACGTGCCCCAATCAGTGGTCAAAGTTATGAATTGAAAGCATGAAAATGCAAAACAAACATGCACATGTAAATGGTCCAACACCTAGGCATAGGAGGACAACTTTCAAGAGCATTCAAAAAGGGACAAACATGGACATGAGACACACATTATAAGCTCTGAAATCATGCATAGAAAGGTGTCAAACCAACCAAACAAAGCAAGCAAAGCATACAAGAAAGCCTAAAGCTTAAGGCTAGCCAAGGGACTCAAACCGTGGCTATGCAAGGCAAGCCCCAAAGGGCCAGGGGCACTCAAAACAGTCCCAAGGCAGGTCAAGACAAGACCAAAAACATGCTCGAAACTAGCCAACACAAGCTAGAACACAACACCAAAAGCATGAGGCATGCAAGGCCACAAAAGAGGTGTTACACTACACCTATCAAAACCAAACATGGCATGAATTATCCAATGAAAAATAGAGTTATGGCATGGTAAAACAAGACTAAAAACCCACTTAGATAGCATCCAAAAGACCTAAGCATGGAGGCATGTACAATGATCCATTAATGAGGCATAAAACATCAACTCTTTAAAGCATTAAATGAGTGATAGGTGCAAGTGTATGAGCATGAAACATGGACTGAAATAACATAACAAATGATGCCAAATCATTGAAATAAGCCAAGTAATACATGCTAGTGACTTGGACACTTGAAGCTAACAAGCTAGGATGCATTAGGGCTATACAAAGCATGGCATATATGATCAAAACAATACAAAACAAAGCTTAAGCATGGTAAAACAAGGCTAAAAGCTCCTTAAAGTTAAGCCAAAACATGCAAGCATGATGGTCTAAACACAAGATGCATGTTAAGGCAAATGAGAAGATTGCAAGACAAGTACATGAAGCATGTAAGAGGCCATTAAACCAACTCAAAACAAAGGTATAGCATGATGAAATAACATCAAATAATTGCTGAAATGGAGCTAAAATATGCTAAGCAAACATGCTACCAATGTGAGCCAAATATACAAGCAAATGAGACAACAAGGAGAGGGGATGACACTCTCCTATTTAAGACCTCAAAACTACCTTTCCACCACTGAAAATCCTCTGGATTTCAGTGGTAGAAAGGTCATGCAAAGACAAGAACAAAGGCCAAAAGGGATGGCTCCAAACAAGCCCTAACAAGGCCTAAGAGGGGGTAAACAACCCCAAACCAAAAAGTGATCTTAAACAAAGATCTAAAGCATCAAAAATTAGAACTTTTATCAGTTAAGAGTCAAGCTTAAAACAATAAGCAAGTATGTCTAAAAGCTTAAGCAAGAATAGGGATTTAAAAGCAAAAAGCTCACCCTTGAAGACCACCTTCAAGAACACAATTCCAGCAGCTTTCTCTGATCAAAACCACTCCAAGAACACTAAAATCAACGTCAATGGACCTCAGCTCCAAGAGGATGGTGTTCTAGTGTGTGTTTGTGTACAATAGTAAGACAAAATGACACTTTTGAACACAATAAGAACAAACAAGAGAATATAGATACAAAACTATATGTATCACTCAACCCTAAATTTTCTGAACCACTGAGAAAGGAGGAGGAGCTCCCTTCTTATAGAATTCAATTCCAAAGCTTCTTGGAGAAGCTAAGCCAAGGGGCAAATCCCTTCATACACGTGTATGGAAGGGGTGAATTGTGTATGCCAGCTGTCACAGCGGGCATAAAATATCTGCAAAAAGCAGATGAATAGGGTTCGGCCAGAAAATATGGCCGATCGACCAACATAAGGGCCGACTGACCAAAAAAGGTGCCGATCGGCCAACACTTTTGGCCGATGGCAAGAAAACATGGCCGATGGCTTCATGCCTTGGCCGATGGGTTGAGGGGATGGCCAACAAGCCACCCTCTTCCCTCAGAAGCAAAAACACAAGTGCTTGGTCCACAACCAAGCACAAAACAGATAAGTTGAGAGATCTTGAGGCAAGGCGCATGGTCGAAACCTCCGGGAACTCAAAACGAACACGAACATGGATGATCATCGAGTGTTCAAACGATGACGTCAAAGTCTTGAGGACGGTCAAAAATGGGATGTCTACAACACCCTCCAAACAAAGTCTCAAAAGAGCAAAGTAGAGAGCTTTTCGGGGCGAAAACCGAGCATGCATCTTCTACTTCTTCAAGCAAAGCTGGAGCAACTTGGTTTAATGCTTACTTGTTAGTTAGCCTCAATTTGTAATTTAATTAGCTAATTTGCTAATTAGTTGAAGTGATGTAATAATTAGTATGTAGATTGCTTATTATTCAATTTGGTTGTGTAATAATTAGTCTAATTAGATTATTAGATTAGTTGCTTGGCTTAGCTTAGATTAGCTTAGCTTTTATTCAGACCCTCTATCGAGAGGGCACAATGCTGTAATAAGGGTGTGTGTGCGCGCGCGTGTGTGTGTGTGTGTGCATGTCTTCCAACCCAATGTCTTTCACCATTTTATTTACCCGCTTTCAGTGGTTAGATTAGGGCATATTTTGATTAGCATACCTTATGCTTGCATGCGTGCATCATTCATTTGTGTTGCATGCACCGGCTCGGCGCATCATTCAAATTGCATTGTATTTCAATTCCTATTTGAATACATGTATCAAGTGTTGCAATCAAATGCCATCATAGATAGCCGAGCCTATTTAGTTGCATTTTTGCATGTGTTGCATTAGGCATATAACATAGCTAGGATCATGTATCGATTTCTAACTACTTTTTTGTTTTAGCTCAGAGTACACTGTAAGTGTTTATGGTTTAGCATACTTGTATGAGTGTAAGTGATTGCCATGTTTAGCATGCTTGCTATAAGGCTATGTACTTAAGTGATTAACTGCATGAATGCCTGTGGATAAAGGCTTCATTGCTTGAATTGGAACAATTCATCAAAATGTGCATTTTAAGCCCACTTGTTTGTGGTAAATCATGTTTTAAGCCCACATGAGGGTGGCAAACCCGCATTTTAGTCTACTTGAGCATAGCAACTTCAAACCACT